TCCCCAGTCCCCCCCCCCCCACACACACAAAGGAGCTGGGCATTGTGGCACACACCTGTAATCCCAACACTCTGGGAGGCTAAGGCAGGAGGATCACAGGGTTCGAGCCCAGCCTAGGAAACTTAGTGAGACCCTGTCCCATTAAAAATAAAAAAGCAATGGGGATGTAGCTCAGGGCAAAGGCTTTGTGTTCAATCTTCGAAATCACCAAAACAAAATTGAGAAATGTGAAATTACTTACAAACCTTCAGAAATTCATGAAGATAATCAACAGCACCAGTGAAAACCCTACTGGCTACCCTGGCATGATCAACATCAACATCCTCTCATTTTCCTACTGTTTCTGCAGGAAGGATGCGTTCCTGCACATACATTTCAGTTCACAAGCAGAGGGAAGGAAGGATTTGAACATCACCATGCCGTATCCCACAGCAGTGTACCCAGGTAAAGCTGCTATCTGGCTGCCAGAAGCAGCAGATAAAGAGCCCACCAGAAAACTGAACAGATTGCACTGACAACACTGAACCAGCGATCAACACTCATTTGCCTCTGGTAGGGGCAGATTAGAGGGACAAAAAAATACAGGGCAAAACCTGACGACTAACATTAAAAATCATCATGCTTATTTGCATACCACGTTCTTGAGAAAATGTCCCCAACTGTATCCGTGTGAAAGTGCTACTCACATTTACTGTGTGCTGACCTTGTCACCTTCACAGAAACAAAGGTCAAGACCCTGATCAGCCCAGACCACACCGATCAGTAAAACAGTAATTTTCAGAAGACAGCTTACCCTGGAAGGATGACGTACACCTCAAATGCAACTCTTGCAGCCCACCATGCTAAGATAGTTCTTCTGCTCTCTGCATTTGCAATACTTTAAATAAACTTTCACTTCGCACTGTATCAGTATTGACTCCCCATTGTTCATTAATAGCCCCACTTTGTTCTTCACCAGAGTGAGAGTAAAGACCCTGAGAGAGGCGAAAAGTCACTAGAGGGGACCCCTACCCCACAGCACCACCCCTGCTGGACATAACAGGAAAACACAGCATCACCTATGAACAGCATCACCCAAAGAAGTGAACTTGAACCCAAGCAAGCATGAGGGTCCAACTGTTCACTTACACAGGAAACAGCAGAGTGCATGTACACGATATCAACTGTTTAGAATGGGAAATTCTACAGAAGAAAATGATTTCTTTCACCTCCACGAAGAAAGAGAAGTAGAAGAGACAAACGTGAACTGAATTTTGGTCCCCAGTTCAAAGTAACTGTAATAAGGTAATTTTGAGTAATAACAGGAATTCGACTAGAGTAGTATTAACTACAATTAAATGAGTTACTGCTTAAGAGGGATAATGGCATTATGATTAATGTTAAGAAGTTTTTAAGTTAAAATATAACATGGTACTTACAGATGAAATGACATGTTTGCAATTTGCTTTAAAACATAACAGCACAAGCAAATTGGGGGAACTGACGGAACAAGATTAAGAAAACACTGGTAACTATTGAAGCTACATGGAGATTCATGATGCTATTTTCTTCATTTTTACAAACACGTGAAGCCTTATGTAATAAAAAGATTTAAAAACTAGGGATTAGCATGTACTGAGTAGGGCTTCTATGGAGTCTGAGGAAATGCATGGAGAGTGCTTAGCGCAGGGCCTTGTGTCAGAGCAAAGGCGGCTACAGGGCCCTCGCTGTCTCACTCCACAGGCACAGAGGCTCGGGCCCAGCCCCCACGTGTGTCACTGCCAGGGCCTGCCAGACCGGTGAACTTGTCTGAAAATGCTCTTCCCTCCAAATCCTTCTCCATGCAGCCACCATCTTTTTTTTCTAGCTACAGTACAGAGTACCCACTACCGCCAGGAACCGGAAGTGGTGATTTTAAAACATTAGCTTCAGTGACCACAACAATCCTTCAAAGAGGAGGAAAAATAATTTAAATGATTTATCCATGCAAGACCCTATAGTTACTATGAGAGGCAAGATCTGCACCCAAGCTTTCTGGCAGCAGCCTTCTGTCTTCCCTACACTATACTATAATCTCCTTTCTAAACAAGAATTACAACTTCTTTTTGAGAAAGGGTGTCACTTAGTCCAGGCAGGCCTAGAATTCAAGATCCTCCTGACTCAGCTTCCCAAGTGCTGGAATTATACGCATATGCTATCATGGCCACCTTGAGTTATGACTTGTTAAAATTTTGCACTAAAGCCTACCTGCTTATAGGCTAAATCTCCCTTTATGGCCCAATGCTACCCAGACTCAACCTTTTCAATTAAGTTAATGCCATTTATTCAATTGTTCTTCCTTTGTCCATTTATCTGCAATAATAATGCTACAGTAATACCTTGGTTCACGAATGCATGCTTCTGTTTCCAGACAATTCGGTTCACATACAGAAGCATTTGGCAAAATTTTGCTTCTATTCACAAACTCCACATCGGGTGACAGACACAACCACAGTCATCTTCCCAACACCAACACAAACACAAACACAGCCATTGTCCCCAAAAGTGTAAAACAAATTTAGTTCATAAGCCAAGGTATCACTGAACTTCTATCAGGCTTACCTTCTGAGCTTCCTATTCAGTTCTATTGGTCAACATTTTATTTTATTTATTTAAGGCTTTGTGTGTTCTGTCAGCCAAGATGATCCTAGCACCAGACAGAAGGTGGTCAGTATTCCCTTGCTCACCAGTTCATGCTGCCAGGAACCTGTGCCCTGCAGCAGAGCTGCTGCTGTACCTGTGCAAGGCCTCGGCTGGAGCTGTAAGAGCTGGTGATGGCGTTGCGGCTGGAGCTGAGGATACCCCCTGTGCACGTGCTTGTCAGGGAGCTCACAGAAGAGGTGCGTGAGCGTTTATTCAAGTGGTCATCTGAACTCTGGGAAGTAAGACCTCGCTTCAAGGTGCCAGGCCTAACAAAAGGGGAAAGTCTGATGCGTTACTGAAGACAATTGTTTTCTTTTTTTAATTTATTGGTACATTTTAGATATATGATGGTAACACTTATCATAGAGAATTTGTATCTGTACATGATAAATCTTGCTTTTTTTTCCTCTTTTCCTCTCCTACCTTCAACCCCTCTTCCTGTCCTTATACATAGAAGTTTTGTTTCCATTTTTTTCTTTCCCTTCCTTTCCCTCCCCCTTTGAACATTTTCTTCCTATTTCACAGTATCTATAACACATTTTGGTGAAGACAGTGTTCTTGAAGATGTCATTTTCAAAAGTTATGATGCCTTTCTTAGTGAATTGTAAGAGAAGAGAATAATGCTCTGAATTTGCACTAACAATCTGGCTAAATTAATTGAGAAAGTCAGTGGGGAGAGCCAGATTCTTAAATGTGACTCCAAACATAATAGAGTCTAGAAAATGTACCCTAATCTACAGTGACAGCGAGCAGACCAGTGGACACCTGGAGGGAGAAGAGAACCTTTGATAATGCATTGGTATGTTCAGTATCTTGCGGCTTCATAGGGCCATACATGGTAAAACTTAACAGAGTCTGTGCTTTAAACAGGTAGTTTATTGTTTATTAGTTATACCGTAATAAGTTGTTTTTAAAAAACTAAGAGTTAAGAGGAAGCAACCAATGTTTTGAAACCTCCAACAGAAACTAATTCCCCATATATCCTTCCTACTACAATACAGTCAATTCATTCTCCAAGTTTCCACTATGTTAAGATCTATTTCCTCAGCTTTCACCCAGGATCTTATTTGGAGCCAATCAAGCAGGTTAGCCTGGCTCATACGACTGTCCCTTTGCTTCTTTCTGGAGGACCATCAACATTCCTTTCCATACTTCCCTTGAGACTCTTCCCTGGGGCAGTCCTGCACCTTCAAGCCCTCCTCACACACCAGGCTCCTCGTCCCTTGAACATCTTGGTGGTTTGTGGCAACCGCCCCCGTACTGCGACACAACGAATGGACTCCAACACTCTAGGACAGTGTGAGCAGAACTCCAGAAAGCAGGATGACCACTACTGGCTCTCTAGTCTGTCTTCTTCTGACAACACAGACTAGGAGCACTGTGGCTTTTCTGGCAGCCATACCATACTGCTGACTCAGGGGAAACATATGCTACCCTAAGTGTTTTCACACGTAGCCCTGAGCCACTTTCCCTACTCTTCAGTTCTTCCTCCAATGTGTTTTAAACACAAATGTACAAATTTAACATTTATTGTTCATACTAAATTTTTCAAGTTGCATTTTATCTACTGCATAAGCCCTGCAATTCTGTTTATATACCATACCTGGGTATCAAATACATTTACAAACACTCTTAGCCTGCCTTAGGGTATTTCATTCATATTAATGCAAAAAATGTGAAAAGGAACTAGATAGTTAATTGTGGCAAGTTACTTAAGACACTGCTCTCTGATTTCAAAGTTGTGACCCTGAATCAATTAAGCAATGAAAAAAGCAAAGAGGAAAAGCTACAGGGCAACAGCTGTGATCATATCCCTCTCCCTAACAGTTGCTATTTCACCCAAATGGATTCGCACACACTTACTTAGGCACGAAAGAAGCAGGAACTCCATTGGCCACCAGGGGTTCAAATGCCGAATGTCCGCTCCCACTGCTATCATGGCGCCTAGATAAATCAAAACCTTCTCAATGAAATAACAACTTCCCCTGCTTAAAGCACATTCTTCTACTTCGGAGATCTATACCATCTCTATGTCTCAAATCCCTAAACTTCCAAAAGGCAAATCTAATCTAAGACTGCCCTGGTAAAAAGGACAATAAGAAAATATTTCAAGACCTTTCAAACGTATCAATTTTCTCACTTGCTAACTTCATGTAAGAGTATTATAATCATAAAATTAACACCTCTCAAATTTAAAAAAAAAAAATCAGGGACCAATCCACACACCTCACAGTGCTCCAGAGGGTAATATGCCAAGTCCGTTAGGAAAACTATACATATCACAAGGAAGATCATTTTTGTGGTTCACTGCTTATTACAATTATGGGAGCTACCATTGAATCCTTAGTTGTAAGTGCAAAGGGGTAGAGAAAAAGTATCACCTTGGGGAACATGAGAAACCTATGCGGACCATAAGACTATCATTTCCTCCCTACCGCCTGCCACTTCTGCTTACCTGGTTGACATTAGCATGAGCTATTCACTTGCGACAACCGCAAGCCCTATCTTTAGTTACTATTACCTGATTTTTCTACATTACATAAATATACAGGCATTTATGGGCATTTCCCTCATTTATTTTATTTTATTTATTATTATTTTTTTTTTGGTACCAAGGATTGAACTCGGGACCTTGCGCTTTTGAGACAGGTGGCAGAACCACTGAGCTAAATCCCCAGCCCTTCCCTCATTTAATTCTGTCATCTACAGTATCAAAGATGGTCAACTTTGAAACTTCAGATATAAACAATCTTGTCTACGTAGTGGAGATGAAGGTTATATCTTTCAGTTATGGGGTTCACTTGTCTTCTTGGAGAGCTCTTCCTTGACCACTTTTAGAAGGAAGTCATCTTTTCATTATCCTCTATTACTACTTTGTATCTATACATTTGCAATCTGTAATTACCTTATTTTGTCATTTAAAAAAATTGCCTGTCTCCCTTAAAAGAGTCCACCACAGGGCAGGGATTGTCTTGTCCACTGCCCCATCCACCTGGAACAGAGTCTTAGGGGGCACTTAATTAATATTTGATGAACTAAAAAATAAGTGGAGGATTGGAGATGTAGCTTAGTGGTATTTTTCCTAGCATGCATCAGGCCCTGGGCTCAGTCCTTGTCAAAAAACACAAAAAACATCCAGTAGTAGAATCCTTAACTGACTCCCTTGGAACTCCAAAAAATGGTCATTTCCTAACTGCATCTTCAACCTCCTCTCTATTCTCAGGAAACTTTTTATTCTGTTTTCGTTGTTATCATATAACCTAAAGGACAGTGATTTTACTCTCACCAGATAAACCTACTATACTCTAGTTTTCCCTCTGCCATGACACTCATTTCCTTCAACAGAGTAATGACTGCTGGTTGTCCAAATAATTGAACACAAAATCGTGAGGGGAAGACTCTAAGCATTCATTTTTTTTTGGAGACAAGGTCTCACTATGTAGTTGAGACTGACCTGGAACTCACTATGTAGCCCAGGCTGGTCTCGAACTCACAGTGATCCTCCTGCCTCAACCTCCCGAGTGCTGGCATTACAGGCGTGTGCCACAACGCCTGGCTTAAACATTCATTCTAGAAGATAAACCTTAACACATTTGGATCAAAGCAGGAAGTCAACATGACTAACAACATCTCTATTTATGGAAAATGAACATTATAAAATGTACCTGAACTAGGCCTTAGGAAATGATTAGCATTCAAGTCCTTACTATCAGTCTCCTCCATGAAAGCCAAAGAAGAAGGCTCACAAACTGGAGTCGGCTGACTTACCTTTTCGGGAATGACATACATTTTAATAAATTCTTAATAGTCTACATAGGAGGCTTTTAGTTTTTTGCTGAGCCTTTGTTACCTTCTTTTATTTTCCTGGGCATCAACAAATACTTGGTCTTCTTCCTCCACTGTCCTTTTCCTCCTCTCTTTGAGGGCGTTCAGTACAGTCTCCTTTGCACATGGGTCTGGGGTATCACTTGATGGTGAGGACAGTGTTGAGTTGATTATTTGCTCAGACCTGTAATGAAAGACCACATTTTGCTGGGCGTGGTGGCGCACGCCTGTAATCCCAGCACTCGGGAGGCTGAGGCAGGAGGATCGCTGTGAGTTTGAGACCAGCATGGGCTACATAGTGAGTTCCAGGTCAGTCTCAACTACATAGTGAGACCGTTTCAAAAAACAAAAAACAAAACAAACAAACAAAAACAAAACGAAACAAAACCCTCGAAAGACAGAATTTTAACAGTGAGTTAAATCAATTACCAGGCCACACCAGCACAGAGTTAAGTCACCAGAAGTCAACAAATGAGCAAAAATACCATTTATACACTCACAGAAATTATCATTAGCAATGAAAGCCAATGTCAAGGGCCAAAAAAAAAAAAAAAAAAAAAAAATTAAGGTTTCATTAGAATTTGGGAATTCTCAAATAAGCAGCTGCTTCTTTTCTTACGCATAGCTATTCTGTCAGAGAGAGGCACGTAGAAGAATAGACACAAAGAGGGAGGACTCTTCCAATAATACTCACATTGGAGCACGAGGTGGTTTGCTGTCTGGAGGTGCAATCCTCACAGTCACCGGGCTACACACCATCCTTGAGTTACGAATAGACAGCACGGGCTTCTTATGACAACCATTCCAGCACACTGTGGGCAGGACCCCCGGAAAGGAATACTGGGCTTGTTGGATTGGATAATGTCTTCGAGGCGTTATTACGAACCGACTGGATAAGGTCCCATAATCCCTACAGAGAAAGAGAGACACATCACCGAACCAAAGAAACTTAAAAGAATGTCAGAAAATGTAAATGGCTAAAGAACCAGCAAGCTTAAATCTCTTCCTAAGCAAAACAGAACACAGTAGCTTTATGACAACTTTCCCCTATTCCATCTAAGGGCAGAAAGTGGCAGCTGCTTAACAGCTGTCTGTACCACAGACTTCAATGATTTCACAGGGAAATCGCAAACCTTGGTCACAGAAGTACTGTGGGAAAAACAGAGATGATGATGTGTGCTGAGAGGGATTTTTCAGTAATTTTTCAGTTGTTTGTACTAATCATAATATACATTTAAAGTCAAATAACTTCAACCCTAGTTCATTTTCTTAACTAAATATATGAATCAAGAGCCCAACATTTTCAGCAGCTTTTTATATTCTCTTGTATCATTCAGCTCTTGGGACTAAATGAAAATGTGTCTAACTTGATCAGCTCTGAGTTTTTCTTCAATCAAAGATGTATCTCTTGGCACACCTGTCTGAGCTCCATTGATACAATTTCTTTTACTGGTCCAAAGACAAAAATGTAGAAAAAAATACTATACGACTAAACTAGAAAAGACATTTTCACCAGAAGGTGAGATACTTTAGTAAAGTATTCTGCTAAATGTAGAGTGCACTATCAGGTACTTCTAAGAACTGGAGAACACTGTGTAGGGGCTCCCGCCTGTAACCCTGCACTTGTGAGGCTGAAGCAGAAGGATCATAAATCTGAGCCCAACTTAGCCACTTCAGCGAGTTTAAGGGCTGCCTGGACTACATACAAATCGAGACCTTACTCAAAACAAAACAAAACTGGAAGGTAGGGTTTTGGCAATAGGTCTCAATCAAAGAACTACAGGAGGGCATGTGACGCCTGACCTACACCAAGATTTCCTTAAAGAGGTCAAAACCACAGAGAATTCACTTTGGACTCCAGGAAGAAGAAAACTAGATTTAGAAGTTAAATCTTCAGCCAGTCTACCGGCAGGGATCTCTGGGAAGATCGGCGTGTCTTACCGATGGGAAGGCCCCCGGGAGGGTCGGTGGAGAGGGGTGGGGAGGGAGGGGTAGATGTGGTGAACTCGCCGGCCG